TTTCATTAAATCTGATCTATCTAATAAGTATATTTAGGACTAGAATTTGATCTTGGCTTTGAGATTCAATTTTTGCTACTATATGAAATATTAGAATGCTTTGTCCTAAAATACTAAAGAAAAAAAAGTAAAAGTAAAGCATAGTCTGAGTGGATCTAAAAAGAAAAAAAATGGATGACTTTGGGGTTTTGCCAGTTTCAGAGAATGTTGCTATAAATAGACTAAAATTCCCTTTGGGTGTCCAGCCACCTGGTAGATCAATGGAAATCATTGGTTTCTACCCTCTTGTACCACTTTTTACTGCTGTTGGGTCTTTTATTATTTTCCTTGTTGACTAGTTTGTTCTAAGTAAACCAGATTGTTGAAACAATTGCTCTTTATTATTCAAAGATATAACTGTATAATCAATAAGAAAAATAGTATGACTTCTATAAAGGAGTTTTATGTTTTAAATTCTTCTGAATAGCCTTGTGGGGACACTGCATGAGTTTAAGGGCACTTAATTAGTGACATTTGTTTAAATCTTTTAACTGGCATCTCAGCAACCACTGGGATAAGATAATCCTTCTAGCAAGATTTAGCCATTTTATAGCCTTTGGCTACAGAGTACAAGTAGAAAAACAATAAATGGTGTTTGAAAAATGTAGAAATTAGGTTAGGCTCTGTTGTGAAGTTAGTTTATTCCTTGTGATATAATTTCAGGGAGGCAGCATAACCTAGAAACGAAAAGTCTGTACTTTGGATCACCTGGTTCAAATACCAGCTCTGCTGCTCATGTACTGGATGCTTTTGGTCAACATACTTAAATGATAAGGTTCAGCATCCTCACCTGTTCAAGTAGGAGTGAGAGATTTGATGTGGTACTTACCATAGTGTCTGGTTTGTAGTAAGTTTTATAAGTGGTAAGTTATTGGTCATATTCTTTAGACTTCAGGAATTTATCTGTGCTGTGTGTGAGGCAAAGAGTTATAGAATCAGAATGTTAGAAATAGGAGAAATCTCAAAGGTAATTTGGTCGAGGACATTTTCTAGGTGAGAGGGCGATGGAGTTGGAAACCAAATCAGCCCTGGCCTCGGAGGGCTGAGATTAGTCCTGTTTTACTGGGAATTGGCACCATTCATACTGCTGGACTTTTTCACCTGGATTGTACTTCTCTTTGAGTGTTTAAGTTTGTGCCTTAGTTTGAACGTTGTGATTATTTTATTAGGATGGATTCCAGTACTGTTATTCCAGAGTAGCTAATGTTTATCAGGAATATAACATTTTATTTTCTTAATGTTTTTTATCACTTCATAAAGGGCCTAATCTTTTCCAATGAAACAAGCCTTAGGGTGTATTATGTTCTTTAAACTCACTTGAAAATAGAGTCCACTGTACTGGAAATTACGTGACAGCTAACTTGGGTGTACTCATTATTCCAGAGGGAGGGGATTGATGGAGAGAGGAACTTGTTATATTATAGATCCTGACAGAGGCACTTATTTAGAAGTGAAAGTGCTTTGAATGACTTAACGTATTTTCAAATGTTTTTCTCCAGTTGTAAACACAGTACTATTTTTAGAGATGAGGGGAAAAAACATGGGAGGTAACTTGATGTTAATGAAATATGTCAGTTAAATCAGGAATACAATCTATATTTTGCCCCTGAGTAGCTTTTTATAACAGTGATTGGTTGATTTTAGCATAGAGATTATTATATTTGGTATTGATTTTAGCATAGAGATTATTATATTTGGTATTTATTATTTAAGTGGCTGTTTCAATTTTTACTTCATTTATTTATTTTGATTATATTTACATTCTTTCTTCCTCCCTTCCATGACCCATACCTGTTCTGGGCCTCTGAGCCAGCAAAGCAAGAGACAGTTATACTTAGGTAGCCTTTATACTTAATATTGGATGAGCCCTCCCCACAGATAGCCTATGTTTTATTTGGATGGAATTATAAGATACTTTAATACTGAAAATATTTTTTAGGTTGTTTAACCTATTGAATTTAACAAACGTAACATTTAATCTTTTCAGAGGTCGAAACAGTAGCAAAGGACTGCCTCAGTCTACGGTGAGTAACTTTATTTTTTTATTTAATATTTTTGAGGTGGGGTAATTAGGTTTGTTTATTTTTTTCCACTTTTCAGTTTTATTAGGTAGAATTGTTAACAGTTTGCACATATACAGTGTATTGCATGTAAATACATATGCACAATATATTGCACATATTTTAAAAATTTACATATATGTACCGTTCATTGTTTCTAAGAATGTTTAGAGCTTTAGCTTTTTCAGCTTACATAGTTATCAAAGAAATAAAGCCATGAGTTTGTTTGTTTATTTATTTTAATAGAGGTACTGGGAATTGAACCCAGGACCTTGTGCATGCTAAGCATGCAGCTCTACCACTGAGCTATACCCTCTTCCCTATGGTGAGTAACTTTAATGTTACTTGTTTGGAAAAATTGGTACCTAAAATGTGATTTCTAAGCCATAGGCCAGCAGCCATGCCCCCTACCACACCAAAATAAATTCGCTTCTCTTGAACTTTATATCACAAAGAACCTTTATAGGTCAGTACTGTTTGGTACAAAATCATTAGCTATATCTGTTGTTATTTGATGATGCCTCTATGTGTAAAATGTAGAATTATCTGTAACTAATATTTTTTTCTCTCACACATAATAATAACTCACTTGTTCTTTTATAAAGTCATCTAGTCAAGGCAAATGTAAATGATTAATGAGATAAATGAAACACTAGGACTGGAGTTTGCAAAGCTCTTTGGATTTTTGGTTTTGAAATAGTGAGCTAGCTCTTATTTCTTTCATTTTTTTCACTTGGAAAGGCCCTTCTGATTTTAAATTTTGGAACTTTGTCAATGAAATTAAACTGGGCACAAAGGAAGAAGTTCCACAAGATAGAAGAAAGAAATGAGAAACTCACTGATATTTGAGATTTTCCCTGTATTGTGGATAAATTTTCTACTTTAGAATCAGAAGGCTATATGCTTATATAGTGTGTAATAAGGAGTAGTGTGATTGATTAGACCTTAGAGCAATATCATTGATTCAGATATGCTAAGGGAAGATAGTCAGGGGTCTTCTACAAAGGTGCCTCCACTTCCCCCGTCTACCCTGTTCATTTATTAAGGTATACTTAACCCTATTTAGTGTGCAGGTTTGTGAGTTTTGGTGCATGATTGTGTAAGTGCCACCACAGTAAGATAGTGAAATGGTTTCATCACCTACAAAAATCCCTCATGGCACTTTTTAGTGAATCCTGCTCCCCAGTCATTGATCTGTCTTCTGTTCCTGTGGTCTTGTCTTTCCTCATGCACGGAAGTTAATTTTTGCTTTTTTTGTATCATGTATAGTCAAAACATTATTAATTGGTATGACTGATTTCACTTTTTAAAACTACTCTATAAGGAAGACAAAGATTGTACCAAACTAAATCTTCCCTTAATGAGTGTTAGGTGTTATAAACCTAACTAAACATTTTGTAACAAAATAAATGCAAACTTTAATATGTACATATACAAAGATAAGTGCTAATAATGTTTTTTCTTAATATTCCAGATTTCTTTTGATGGAATCTATGCAAATATGAGGATGGTTCATATACTTACATCAGTTGTTGTAAGTTACCAGAGTATTGGGGTTGAAACTGCCTAGGGAGTGGAATACAGTAATTTCATGAAGTTAAAATGTGGATGAATGATTCTCAAAGTAACATTTTTTAGGTCATGTTTAATCAGGATGATTTAGTAAAAACAGATTAGAACTCTGTTCAAGTTGTTGTAGCTCACTATGAAAGCATTCTTGTTAACCCTGCTGTGTACAGAATAGTATTACTAGTTGATTATCTTTAGTGAATTGTCACTCAATGAAACTGGAGTCAAAAATACTAAACTTCAGTATTTAAACTTATACTGCAAACTCTGAGCAGGGCCTCGTGAAGAATTTTGGGAATTCAGTGTTTTGTTAATGTTTTAAAATTTTTTCTGTCAGAGAATACCTAAAATGTTGAATGAAGCCTAATTAGTTATAAAAAGTAAAATGAAAACAGTTATCCCTCATGACTGCATAGTACACTGTTTCTTTGATAAATTAATTGTATGTTTTTAGGGATCCAAATGTGAAGTACAAGTGAAAAATGGAGGTGTATATGAAGGAGTTTTTAAAACATACAGTCCTAAGGTAATTTTTACTTTTTTTAAAATGTAAAACCCCATGAATCATCAACTACTACTGTGTATGTTTGTATGACTTCCTGACAATGTTGGTTAGGTTCTGATTTAGCAGTTTTTAGTTATGAGCTTGGGTGTATTCATCACATTTTCATGGTCAGTACTTTACCTTGAAAGCACTCTTAAAAACCACTTTGAATGATCTTACTCTTCAGTTTCAAAGACTGATTATTTTATAGATGAGTTTGATCATCAAAAAGATTTCTTGCTCTAGGTGTTTATTAAAAGTTTTTGGCCTTTTCAAGCATTGTGAACTAGAAGAGGGATCCAGTGTTCATTGTTTTCACTATTGTGCTTAAGGCAGACATTTTGAATATTGGAATGGATAATACATATTTCTGAGAAAAAAGTATGATTATAAGGATCTCTTGAGATAACTTTTCCAAAGGCATGTAAGAAATAGTACCTTGATGTACTGAAGAATTCTTGTCATATTTTATTTTGTAAGTGTTTGGAATATTTACCCATGTTTTTCTCTTTAGTGTGATTTGGTACTTGATGCTGCACATGAGAAAAGTACAGAATCTAGTTCGGGGCCAAAACGTGAAGAAATAATGGAGAGTATTTTGTTCAAGTGTTCAGACTTTGTTGTGGTACAGTTTAAAGATATGGACTCCAGTTATGCAAGGAGGGGTGAGTTTTGATTTCCTAAATGTGTTTCATGGTTTATTAGATTTATTCAAGCAAAGACTCTACATTGATCATACAGACTTTTTTTTTGAGTTGGGGGGAGGGCTTTTTTGATTAAGACAAATAGGAATCTTAATGTATTTTTGTTGGAAAATATTTAAAACTTCAGAGGAAGATCCCTTGGTAGTTTTGGTAGGATAAATAATGAAAATTTGTATTCTATTAAAAATAGTTTATAAAGGGTTTTCGATAGTTTTATGGTGAAGAATGCTACTGATTATACCCAGCTGAACATTTCTTATCACATTTAGCTGACAATGTTTTAGCTTACACATTTTTAATTTTATAATGCTTATAAGTAATGCTTATGCAAAGCTACAAGGATATATTGTACGACACAGGGAATGTAGCCAATATTTCATAAGAACCATAAATGGAATATAACCTTGAAAAATTGTTAATCACTATACTACACACTTCTGTAACTTATATAATATTGTGCATCAACTACAATTAAAAAAGAAAAGAATAATGCTTATATAGTTTTGTTATGCTTATAGTTGTATAAATGCTTTAGTTTTTTAATCTGGAAGAAATCAAAGCACAGGACAGAAAGGCAGAGAGCTTTGGATGGAAAACGATTGTCTAATGAAGTTGAAAAAGATAAGTAGAACATGTATACTGAGAAAAACGTGCGGAGTATGGGACTGTGTTTGGAGACTATAAAAGTGATGATGTAGTCATATTAAAACTTAGTCTGTTTTAAGTGCCTGTTGAGGAAAATGTGGGAATTCCTGTTACTTACTTGGAGCACATACTCTGCAGTACTGAGTGTTCAGTAACTCATTGAAAAGCTTGTCTTAGCAATTTTGAACTTGGTTCTAAAATTCCTACATGGTTTTTTGGAGGAGGGTGTCAAATTCTGTAGTCATTTCTATTGTAAATTATGGCAACAATTTTTGATTTTCATAATTCATTCTATACCAACAACTGTTTTCATAGTTGTACTCAAGTTCTTCTGTGCTATTACTTAGAAATTACAAGTAGCTTTTCTTTTGAACCTCTTGATAAAGTTCTCACCTATAGTTAGATTGCTTTTTCAGACGCTAGCAGTGCTGGGTGCTCTAACTGCTTTGCATTGCTGGTGAAAGCACTGTGGTCTGTTTTTTGTTTTTTTTTTTATCTTCTCAAATATCTGTGTCTTTGATTCACAACTTTTTGTCTGAGAGTCCTTCATTGGTCCATAGAAGGAAACACATCTTTTTTTAGTTACTGCCTTTGGAGTTGATGTTTATGCCTAGGAGCAAAGAATTATTTATATTTATACTTACCCTATTGAAGTATTTCACTGTTTTAAATTTAAAAATTGACTTGGATCATAAGCCAAAAGGGAAAATAAAATTTTAGTTGAATTTAGTGCTTAGCACTCTGTAAAAAAAATATTGGCAACAACAGCAGCAAAACGTTCCCTGCTCTGTTGGCTTCCAGGCCATTTTGCTGACAGCTATTCACATTATGCTTTGTTTTTTGTTTAAATTGGCATTTCCCAAATTTGCAAAGATAAATATGACTTGAAGATATTTATAGTACTCGTTTTTGTTCCTCTTAAAATTAATGTCTTTAAATTTTGTTGTTGTTGTTGTTTGTTATTTTATTATGCCTTTATTTCTCAGGTAATTTGTGTTCATTGTAGAAAGCCAAGAAAATACAGATCAGAGCGACAGCTTTGGCAACGTTCAGTACGCTCATAAGGGGATGGATGTATTTTGCTATATACATAAATAGTTTTCTTGATGAGGACATCCAATAGTGGAGTAATTTCAGGTATTTTATTTAAAGACTGTAGTGGTTTAGTGAATTATACAATTGTGTCCAGTGCATAGGATCCTGAAAATAGTATTAAGTCATGTGTTAGGATTTCAGTTCTCTTAACCAGATTCTTAACACTGTCCTGGAAGAAGTTACCCTGTATAAAAGTATTGTTTTGGAGATACCATAGAGAAAACTTTTTTAGAGTAATTAATTGATAAGATTTATTAATTATAAAAATTAAGGCATTCAGTATTGCTTTTAGGTTTATATTATTTTATATTAAAGATTTACTCAGATTTCTAGTCTCCTTGAGTAAAGAAAGGTAGGATTTAATTAATGCTTCTTAATGCT